TCTTAGTGAGAATTTTGATGCTATTCTGCAATTCTTCAGTGAAACAGCCAGGTGAATCGGTGTCTGATGAACATAATTTGTTTACTCAACGTCGATATGTTTTGCGAAGGTACCTATATTAAAAGACGAAGAGAGCGTTTACTTTAAAACAACAATTTTGATACTCATCCATTCAACAATGTGCACTTCTTGCTTGGTAGGCGAGAATGTAGCTTTCGTGTTCGAAAACCAAGGAGAAACAAACTGATTTCGAATGACTTGGAGTAATTTCGAGTGATTTCTAGTAGAAATCAAAGCCTTCCAGTTTCTTTATATATATATCATTCAATCGTGTGTTATTTATCTATTGATATTAGCGTACTTAGACACACATTATAAAGTATATGAGTTTTTCTGAAGAAAATCATGATAAAGTAACGCGAAACTATACAATGTGACATAGAACCACTATTTATTATGCAAAGCAGTTGATACTGCAAATTGTTATTCATCTTTAACTCGTGATAATCGCTTCGCGGACAATGAACTTTGATCTTTTCCAAAAGCCAAAACGCAGCTTCTTTGTGTAGAAACTTCTTTTCACTATTAATCTTAATCAACAGAGAACAAGCTGATTTCTACTGATAGAAATCATTAGAAATCACTAGAAATTATCAGAAATCATTATCATGCGCGACAGATACGAATAATGACTGGAAGAGTTTAAAAACAGAGGAGGGAAGTTACAGTACATGCACCTAATTAGAACAGAACATTTATATGATCATATTCCCTCTTTGATATCTCATTGAAACAATGAGCAAATGATCTCAAATTTTATAACAAACGAGCTAAATCTTGTGTCAATCAACTGATGAAATAATTTTTGAAAACCTCAAAAACCAGTAGAGTTATGAGCGGTAGAATGAAGTCGATTGGTCGCGTTCTAAATAAATGCCATGTTCCGAATAAGAATGCTAGTGTAAAAGTTATCCCAAATTAGTACGGACCAGCATAAATATATAAAAACTCAGGCAATGTTCAAAAATGGTGTCATATTCACTAACAAATTTCGGAATCGAGCCGAATGTCCCTTAGATAACTTGTTCATTATACTTTTTTCTATCACTTGGCAAAGGCTCAGTTATATATGTTGCTAAATAGATTAGATATGTTCAGAATTATCTCTATTAATCTAATAAAAAACACTCTACACGGCGTGCCAAAAGTCCCTGAGAAAACTTTTCGTGAATAATTCTTAATTGCTTCGAGCAATGCATGAAAACCACATTTCAACACTTTTGTGAAACTGTTACAGTAAAAGATCCAGAAGATTTTAGACAACGTCAAAAATTACAAAAGAAAAAGTTCATGAACTGCACGATGTTTGTGAAAATCAGTCGCAATCAGGTGTTTGACCTGCCGCAATCACCTACCCCATTCAATTAACAGCAGATCGCTGAACTATTACGCAATAGCTTTTACAGAAGCCATGCAAAGTGCATTTTGTCCATGGTGCGGAGCAGACGATTGCAACAGTTCAAACACCTGATCGCGGCTGATTTTCACAAACATCGTGAAGTGCATTGACTTTTCTTTTGTAATTTTGGACGTTGTTCTAAAATCGTCTGGATCTTTTACTGTATCTGTTTCACAGAAGTGTTGAAATGTAGTTTTAATGCAATCTTCACTCGTTGCTTTTTTTTCAAACTCAACTAGCAATTTTCATCTCAGAATAACAGGTAGCTCAAGTTTGGCCAAAACATCACTGTTTCTGTTCTAATGCTTGCAGATACAGGCATTTATCTGAAAATGTACAGAACAAATCGTCAATCAATATACAATATTTCAACAGCTCGAAGCATTTAAGAATTATTCACAAAGATTTTCATCAATGGTAGAGTTTTCCAATAAAAAATGTGGATATAGCAAAATTATGTTTTTGGAAGAATTCACGTAGATTTGCGTGTGGATGAACCTACAACCACATTCTCAAATTGGAATAGGTCGCATTTTTGTGAGTGCGAAACGTTATTTTATAATGTTACGGATGTTTGGATGAGTGCAATAGATTTTCCCAATATGTCTGCTTATACGTCAGATACCGAGTCAAATAACGATTTTCTTAGAGTTTTTCAATATCGACAGTAAGAGAGAATCGAAAGAGTATGAGCATCATGTTCATCGTCCCGGTTGACCCAGTGTGATGAATAAGACAGTGCTTCCTTGTCGCTCAGGGTAGCAAATAGAAGAACACCTACCCCGTTTGATGCTCCTAAAGATAAATCAATCCCAGAGGCGTTTTCAGAGATCCAAAGCCAAATTTTGCGTTATCTTTTGAATTACAGCTTGGTCTTATAGAATTGACTGCACCAGTCAAAATCCATTCAGTTTTGCTCTGAGAAATCACGGGAAAAAATTGTTATTTTTTTATCAAAAAAAACAATTTTAATAAGATTGCTCCGGACGAACGCCGCGATAGCGAATATCTGAAATTTATACCACAAAGAGATTTCATCGAGATCTAGCTATGAGTAAACTTTTAGACCTAAATCTCTTCAGTCCTGAGATAATGAATGGTAAAGTTGACTGAAAGGGGCATTTTACTCTCCATAATCAGTACCGATAGTTTGGCTTTGATACATTCGTTTGACTTGAAATATTTTGTATGGTGATTAAAACTTGTTAGCGCAGCCCCTTCGAAGCTAATTTGTGGAACTCACATATGATCTTTAGCCTAATTCTACTAATAGACAATACGTAAAATGCGAATCTATTACACATTTTAGTCGTTTTCCAGGACGATCCATCAGTAGAAGAAAAACTGATATACAATATGTAAAGTGAAAAATCTCTCGTAGACTATACTTATTTTCCAATATAAACAATCACCAGAGAAAGAATTGTTTTTATTTATTTTTGCATTTTGAACATAATTTTTTTTATCACCATTGCTCTATTCTTTTGTTTAACCTTATTACTATTATTTCGTTACTTTTTATTTTCGCATTTCGTTTTTCTTAATTTCACACAATTATTTTTCTCATCATTGATTTAACTGACAAAAAAGACTTATAAATTTCTATCATATTTAAAGTTAGCATAATAGAACTATTATTATTCTCGATCAACTCACAAAAACTAATATTATTGATTTCTCAAAGTCATAACATGAGCACTTTTGAAAAAAACTCAAGAAAGTCTTATGTTTGTTGGTTTTGTTACCTAATCTTTGTCATGATGATATAAGCTCACTGCTACTCTCTGCAAAGTTGGCATCCGCTGGTTACTAAGAGGTATAATGATGATATAAGATGGCTGCTAGTGTCTGTAATGGGTAACGCCCCATTTTTTTCTCTGTCGTTTGAGATGGAGAGACGCAAGAAACAGTGTACTAATTAGTAGCATGAGATACTCATTAACGGCTGTAATGGGGAGGTGAGGGCAGCCTAAAAAATCTTGCTTTTAAACTTATACTCACAATTTTCTTCAAAATATACGTGAGTTCTACACAACTGTTTCCCCTATCACATGTGTTAAAAGGAGCATTCTCGGTCGTGGCTTACATACAATGTCTGTTATCATCTTTTGGATCGTAATAAACATGTAGAATACCAGTGGATACGTTTTACATATATCCGTAAATCGTCTTCCGACCATATCTAATCTACATGCAAAAACGAGAAAACTCTTGTTTTGCTAGTTTCAGACCGGAAAGCAGTTCTTCACTCAGATCGTGGCCCAACGTACGGTTCTCACATCTAGTAAGACAAAGATTCAGATAACATAGACAACTTTCTTACCCAGGAATTCTCAAAACCTACGGTTTAAGCAGATAGGCTCTATTTTTGATAAAAACGTCGCCATTTCAGTACTTCACAACTATGTAGCGATTTTTCTAGCAGCTTCCTTCGTACGGGCAAACAAACTTCTTATCTTTCTCACTTACATGCTGTTCATCTGTCATACAGTAAGAAATAAATAGAAAGATATGCTCTTTATTTCGCACCTTTCGCTCGTTAGAATGATGAAAAAGCTCTACTCTTATCTTATTCTCGCTGTTGATGAGGGCATAAGATATCAGTGTAAAAATGAGTTTCTGTTGCACAACAATCTTGCAACCAAGGTCGAAAAACCAGACCCATTCAATGTTAAGATAAGCATCAAAACTCAATAGTCACGAAGAAATTGTGTGAAATAGGATTCTTAATGAATATTGATATATTGAAAAAGTTAGACCTTTTCCCAAATATGACGGACACTGTAGAATGTATGTCTTGTGTGTGATCTAGTTACGATGTCGAAACATTTTTTACAATTCGAGCAGCTTCATCATGTTTCACATTTTAATCCTACAGAGATTGCAATGAAAGTTTTCTGTGTTAAACACGATAACTTGCCAAAAAAGCACTTTTTCGAAAAAAGTGATATTCTTTATTTGTATATCACTTGCTGGCAGTGTGTGTGTAGACAACAGGGGTTGCCAGCTGGTAGGGATAACTTACTGAGTGTAGCGCCATTTTTAGCACTACATTGACTGAGTTGTCACCTCGAGTTAGCAACCATGATAGGCACCCACACGTATTCTGTATACCACTATAACTACATTTTTCGGGGCTTCAGAAAACTCTGAAATCCCTAAAAGATTTCCGATAGTAAAAACTAGGGAATTTTTTAAGAATTTCCGCGGGTATTTTTGTTTTTGAGTGTGTTGAACGATGTAGCATGTCTCCTATGGCTTAGAACTTGTCCGTGTACTATTGCATATAGAAACAACTAGTAAACAATGCAGTTAGTGTCAGCGAAAGTAACAAGCTGTAGCATATAAAATAAGAAGATCTCTTCGATGCGATATAAATATGATCTGTGAAAAGAATCAATTAACAAAGCTTCAGAAATCATGTAATTGGGGATGGTGAAATTGGCTAGACTACAGCAGTTACATGCAAAAAGAATTCGTAATAAAAAGCAATTTATCAATGTTTCTTTTTTAATTTCAAGATTTATTTTAATAAAAGTATTCAAAGTAGATCGATTTTTGGATGCAACGATTTGAAGTCGGGTATCCAGTCCGGCTGAATACGCTTGCCCGAGTATTCAAAAGCACTTGAATTTTCATCATTCGGGATCAAATTCGGATTAATCGATCCATTTTGATGTTGATCATTATTTCGAGTAACTTGTCTTATTTCAGTTAACACCTTCAATCGTCGCAAATTCGTAAACTGATTGTGCGAATTAAAAGCAATTGCTGGTACTAGAAATTGCCGAGCTTTTCGCGAACTATTCGGATGTAGACCAACAACGAAAAATGCACGTTGACCAATACTAAAACCAAATTGCGCATTTATCGGATCGTCAGAATAATCCTTAGCCCATTTCATCCCATTGTTGACATCTTCCTCGTGAAGTAACCGTAGTTGTTTCCAGAGTAGAATTTCAAAAATGTCTTCACTCATAATTTTCGGCATTCGAAAGCAAGCAACGTACGTTGTCAACATGTGATTTTTCTCCCATAATGACGATTGATAATTGATAAATTTCATCAGATTATGCCACAAAAGTTTAGTCGATTCCTCAGTTGCTAAAACGTCGTAAAGGTTGAAGCCGAATGCATTCCGTTTCAAAGCAATTTTTGCATTCAAACACGGAAAATTTGATGTCGCCACATGCTGTTTAAACTGTTCTTTCATTGCGCATTCTTCATCGACGGTGATCGCTCTCCGTATTTTGCATTCGGACATAATTTTATGGTTGATTAAATTTTCTTTGAGAAAATAACCTAGTTTTTCAGTTTCTGTTCTTCGAAGTACTTTGCCAATCCAATACTTTCGATTTATCAATTGTTTGATGACATCAGATGCCAAATGTATTTCATAGAACAGTCGAGTGACGTCTCTACCGGAAAGTTCAATGATAATGTCGAGTCCCCCCGCGTGACTGTGCATCGATGCTAAACAATACACATCATCGTCAATGATGATCCATCGATCATTTTTGTGTTCTTCCACCTCGGCTATGGTGAGCACACGAACATGAGAACAATTTTTGGCTCGCAGCAATGCATAATATCGCTTGAAAAGCGTTAGAATATTGGCGATCAATGTTAGAAAATGCATAGCATAATAAGAGAATCTGAAATAATGAAAGTTATCGATATAGGGAAAAATATAAACTGTGCCGAGTTGTCAGAAAAAAATAATTAATAAAACGAAAATGTCGTAGAATTTTTGAAATTTGACTCTAGATTTGTTTAATATAAGACATATATATAATAAATGTGATAATAAAATGAAGATCCATTCGAAATATTTCTCTTTTAATACTGATGAATGAAGTCATGGTGAAGAAGCGCAAATTCGATGATTCTATTCTTGTTGTTCAAGACGTCAACGGCATGATTATGCTTAGGAATGCGCAGTTTCAGTAAAAACAGTGAAACAATGACAGTGATTTAGCCTCAGGGAGTCCATTGAAGCACTGTCCACTCTGGGTGTGGGCGTGGGTGTGGATGTGGGTGTGAGTGTGCGGATGTGGGTGTGGACGTGGGAGTGGGTGTGTATGGGTGTGTTGTTCCACTCACACCCACACACCCACACCCACGCACCCACACCGACACACACACACCCACACCCACGCACCCACACCGATACACACCCACCCACACCCACACCCCAAATTTCTACAAAATCCTTTTCGTACGAACCTCAATAAGAGTTTCGATTTATTCTCAATTCTTGAAACCCTTTCTAGGTTTTGAATGACCCTTTTTTATTTCAGTGTAATTATTCCTTCGAATGCGTGTTGTGTCTCCTCTTATATCATGTCTATCTGACGGCCAAGTCAATCAAAAATTGATCTAGTCTATGATCTTGAAATGGAACCGCATCAACCAATTGGAGCGTGTTCGTACGAAATGAACATACTAAACAAGTTTAGTTCAATAGGTGGGAACAGATTGTCTTCTACAGATTTTAGAAAGTTGGTCAGTTGAAAATCCCACAAGTTTTGATATTCAACCATAAAGTATTTTTTTCAGCTTTTGTCATGTAGATGTTATTCAAGTTACAACATCGTTTTAAGGGTTAAGGAATAGATATAGGAAGGTGGATATTTGACTAAGGAGTTAGACAAAAATCTAGTGCCTGGTTAGACATCAGGGGAGACCAATCGTAGTTCTATGCTTCTTGGTACTTCTCGGTAGCTCGTACTTCTCCGTACCATGAAAGTATACGAAATAAGGGAACCAAGGGATTTTAGCTGAGTTCATATTTAATCATCTCTGTTCTTGACTTCAAACAATTTACAAGTCGCAGATTTTCTTTTACACTACCCAAACGATTTTTTGATGACATTTATTTTTGGACAGTTTATTTCAGGGGACAAAGTAAGCCGGCTCAATATTTTGTGCTGATTGCAAACATGACAGTTGCTTGAAATTAAACGATGATTATTTTCTTAGAGAATTATGGAATATCAGTCAAAAATGACACAAACTGGATCTTAAAAATGATAGATAGAGAATAGTTCTTTACCAGACATAGAATTGCCTGTTGAAAACAGTTTTATCAGGAAGAGTATATTGAATAACGTATTCAAAAAAAAATGTCGCTGATGCACTTGAAAAAACTATAAGTTCATAAGACTGAAAAACTCATTATTTGTAACAATATGATCCAATCCGGGTGGTATTTGATATTTATCGATAGAAAAAGTTGCGAATACGTAAGAAGTCCTTATAGATTCTGATAGAAAAAGAAACTCTGCATCTAATAAGAATAGTTTAAATAAATCTAAATCGGGTATTTATGGATCTTTAGGTCAAAAACTGATTTTATGGCTTCCAGAAAGTGCTTCAGAGTTTTGATATTATTCTATCAGTTTTAAAAACTAAGGCGATATTTGTAATCGGCATGCTTAGCTCTATCGAATTACAACGATTTTGAATAGAGCGACGATCAAAAACATTTTTGATACCCGACGTGGATCTCAGGTGAGAAAATGGAGTTGTGATAAAATACAAAGTAAACTTTTGAGAAACAATCAAGATTCAATGCTGATTTTCAGACTAATAAAATTATGATCAGATTTTTTTGCGATGTTAGGTCCATAATTTGACATATCTCCTGTACAAATTATCCTCTTTTAACCGCCAGAATCTACTTACAGGCTTAAATATAAGAAAATACTTAAAATCAAGCTACAAAATATTGAAAATCAAACTTTTTTTGAATGATTTATTGATTTCCTTGACCAAATTGAGTTTTTTGATTTACACTGATAGAAAATAATAAAAAGTCAGCTCTTTCCCCCTTGAATTGGCGTCTAAAAACAAAATACCATTGTACCCTTTTTTTGCGAACGGAAAAGACTAATTACTGAAGCTGCCGCTTTGAAGGTAAAGTGTGAGCCCATGAACTTGAGTATGATTGACGTCGATTTTGACTTACATCCTACGATCTAGCAACGAACTCTTTTTATTTATGGTTCAAATTGAATTTTTCTGTATCAACAAATTGTAAGTATATTTATGTACTTATATATAATTCTTCATTACTCGATGTACTTATCCGTACTTCTTGATACTTCCTCGTACTTCTATACTTCAGACGTACAGAAGCACGTTTGTTTCCCTTTGTTAGACATACATGTAAATCGATAGATATATGTATTGAGAGGAAGTGCATGAATAGATGGACAGTATTATATTGAATTCCATACAAAAATGGGACTACGAAACCGTTTTTGAAGCAAACAGGAAACAGTTTTATACGAACTTAAGAAGGGTTTCGAATTCGTTTCAGTTGCTAAAACTCTTTTTAAGTTTCGTATGGTACCTTTTTTTTCTGTATATAGGTCTATTAGAGACATTTTTTTACCATTTTGAAAGATATCTTAGGGTGTGACAGAAGTCAATCCACCCTGTTCGACCAGTTGTAAAGCCTTAGACCGTAAAAGGTTTGGATTATTCTACAATATACCAAGGTCTAAGTTCTTGTGGGATCAAATTCAAAATCTCTTCCCCACCATGTTATTGCTATCGCTGGTTTTTTAATGAAGCGTCTCTTAAATAATCCTCACTTATTTATTAATTCTGACCACGTCTCAGATGAGTATCTATTTAATCTCAAACACTATTTAATCTATAACGATAGCTATTAAATGTTTTAAATAGCGAATGATAATGCTTTAATGGCGCTATAATTTCAAGCAGATAGTTACGCAAAGATAAATAATGAACAAAATTTTAGTATAGACCGACCAGCTGTTTAGTTCATTCACAGGTGGTGTTACTACCATAAAATTATCAAAATTAGTTAATTCATAATTATGGCTACTAAGACAGTACTCAGATCTCTATATATTGTGATTGATTTATTCCGAGCCAGAGACGACATTAGGCTAGATGACTAGCTATTTCATATCAAGCACTATGAAAAGATTATCAATACTAGTTATTTTCTAATCATTGCTATCTGAGTGACAGCCAACTATTTATTTATTGTCGATGGTTTGTTTCAATTAAGGAGAGCGGTGTAAAGTTTGGATATATTAGGATGAATATAACAGTGGAATTTACGTATCTTTTTATACTCTAAATGACAACGA